ACAGTTACGAGGCTCGCTGGGTGATTTTGTGATCCCGAAAAAAAAACTGTTGATCCCAAGTGTTTTTATCGCGAATTAAACATTGTTCATGCGCACGTCCAACCACAAGATTCCTAAGGATTACGAATAATACTTCCCACCAATTCTCAAAAATCTCCGCTTGCTCTATTAAGTCCTACTTCGTAGCCATGTCGAGAATTCCTGCAAATGAGACTGACGAGACGTCTTTCATTCCTTCCTTCCTTTCTTACTTGCTCCCCTCCCTTCCTTGATTCATGGCTTCCTTCCTTCTTTCCTTCCTTCCTTCCTTCCCGCCTTCCCGTCCTTCCTGCTTTTCTGTCTTTCTTACCTGCTCTTCTTCCTTCCTTCCTTGCTTCCTCGCTTCCTTTCTCTCCGCTAGGATTTTGATTTTTTTTTGATCCTCCCGTGCGCCGGCTGGGAGGGCCGGTTTTCCTCTGATTTCTCTCTATTGATTTGTTTTTGATCCTTATTTGAATTTTTTGATCCTTATTTGAATTTTTTTGATTCTAATTTGATTTTTTGATCCTTATTTGATTTTTTTCCACATCCCCCAGAAGCCGGCCGCCCCGGCTGAATTTAAGGACTCAGGAGATGAGATGATAGAAGCTGCGATTAGGGCAATCGAAGCGGATGATGAAGGTGGGGAGGCATCAGTCTCGGGTTTCCCGGCTGATGAGCGCAATCAAGAAGGATCCGCTCAGGGTAAATCCGAAGAAAGGGCACCAGATCCAGGTGTAGTTCTGGTCGATGAGAACAGTGGCGCCCCTGTCAAAATTCTAAACGAAAGCTCAAGGAAGAAGCAGTATCTATGGCGCACTTGATATCTCACCGATTCAAGAATCCATATTGCCAGGCATGTGTCATGTGTCAGGGGTAAGATGAGGCACTTCTACACCAAGAAGGGAGCCGTTCAGAGGGAGTTGAAGGAATGGGGCGATGTTGTCACTTTGGATTTTGTGTTTTCTGAGGATCAGATGGATGACGACTTTGTCATGAAGATGCTTACTGTAAAAGACATCTACACCCATTTCATCGGCGCGTATCCTGTGGACACGAGGTCTGAGATCAATGTTAGGAACTCACTCAAAGTCTTCATGGGCGATAGGAAGATCAAGCTGTTGTATGGCGATAATGCCGAAGAGTTTGAGAAAGCTGCTGACACACTTGAGATACCATTTGACAACTCCGTTCCCAATCGCAAACAAACCAATGCTATTGTTGAAAGGACCAATCTTTACCTAGAGGATCAAGTGGCCACTTGTTTGGTTGCTGCAGGACTTCCTCCATGCTATTGGAGTTTGCGTTGCGGTGCTACACTCTCCTTCACAATACTGAGAAAGTCAATGGGCAGTCACCATGGGAATTGACCTTTGGGGAAGAGTTCCAAGGTAAACGCATACCCTTTGGTGCGCTAGTAAATTTCAAGCCCACATCATCGAGACAGCTCAGCACGAAGTTTGGTCCAGATGCAGTCACAGGAGTCTTTGCAGGTTACGTTACCACCTCAGGCGAAAATTGGAGGAGAGAGTATCTTGCATGGCCATTGGTTGACTTCAAAGATACTGATCTGTCCATTGATTGTGACATGGTCCCCAGGCAGCTCAGGGAACCTATTGTCGCTGAGCGTTTCTTGTTGGTTGCTGACAAAGTTACTTTTCCGTTGAAGAATGAATATCATTGCCTCATCCCGTGAGGGACCCGAGGTCCTCGAAATGGTAGATGTTGATTCCCCCAAACCTCGTCTTCATTATGTGTCTGAGGGTTACCTTCATTACGCTGAAGGAACTGCGGGCGATGGCAACATTTATGTTGACGATGATGGATACAATGTCAAACTCGACAAGCTTGGCCAACGTTACCGGGTAAGATCTGATGGGGTTAGAGAGGTCCCTACGTCTAGACCCCTAGGCACTCCTCCTGAAGCATGGGCCCGCATGAGCGAACGAGAAAAGGAAGGGGCTATCCGCACCAGAGATGCTGTTGAAAGGAAGAGCAAAGCGAAGGTCGCTCCGAAGGCAGCGCCGAAGACAGCCGAGGCGGATGAAACCCCAGAGGATGAATTTGCGGAGTACTCTCCTGATGCTTTTCCTGGAGGCTATCCCCTAGACTCTGAAGCCGAGGATCAAGATAATGATTATCAGTTCTGTCATGATGGCTTCGACGTTCCAGAGTGGGAAGAAAATTGCTTCGGAAGGGATGAGGGTTGATTCGGCGCCGTGTGTGCCTATCTTCGATACTGGGGAACGGTTTGTTAAGGATCTTTCCCAGAAAGGGATGCTATCTAGGAAGGATGTCAGAAACGCACTCAAATTGGCCAGTTTGAAAACCAGGATCAACTACAGGACTATCGATGTTTTGTGTCTGGCCGCGCCTAAGAAGTTGGACACTTGGGTCTTCGGACTCTACAACAGGGGAGGCGTGGTAGGCATTACCAATGACATGAAGCGTAGGCCTTGGTTGTCCAGATTGAATACTGCCATGATCAGGGCTGAGAGGCCTGGATTTGAGTTCAGTGCATTCTCCGTCAATCAGAACTTAGAAATTGGGATGCATAGGGACACGACCAATGCCGTGGTCGGCCTTAATAAGTTTTCGGGGGGACAGTTGTGGATTGAAGATCCGAAGGGAAAGGTCGAAAAGGACATTCCTCCCGACAAGCGTACTAAGGATGGACCCACCAAGGTACTGGGAAGGTTGGTTACAACGTCCGAGAAAGCCGTAACTTTCGATGGTCGAAAGTGGCATTGCGTAGAGCCAACGCGTGATGAAAGATTGACAGTTGCTAGTTGCACTCCATGTGGAATCAGACATACGAAGAAAGGAACGAGAAGAATCCTGAAGAGATTGGGATTCGTGCTACCCGGGCGGCACAACTCTCTGCTGGGCAATGCCCCGGAGGTTCGCTCGGTTCCAGCGATGCCATGCGTGGAGGCATCAGTCCAGGAACACAACGAAAAGATCGCCAAAGAAGAAGAATAAATCCTGGGCGCTATCCTTTCGAGGCTGGTCTCAATAAGAGGTGTCCATGATGGAGAAAGATGATGTTGCCAGGGAAGCTAGAGATTCGGGAGAAGAAATTCACTTCGCCAGGGCTCATTCCATCATGGTAGAGAAACATCATATCTTAGATGAGGTTGATCCAAGAAGGAAGTTCAAGGCCAGGGGGGTTTGCCTACAGCTCATACGCAGCGGGCAAACCTTTTGCCACAA